GGTGGCCGCAGACCCACTCAACACCACTATCTTTTTCCAATCAGACTCAGAAAGTGAGTCTGATTCTCAACATCGTGGAGACTCCCCCCAGTTCACTCCCACAAGGATGACACTGGTTCTCGCCCTAAGGTCTCCAAGGCTTCCCGACTGCATTTCTTTTCTCCTGAGGAGTTCCGCTCCATCCTTTTGAACGTCACCCAAACACTTCAAACACCTTCCCAACCGTAGGGCACTTCTTCCGCCCATGCCAGAACTGAGCCGAGGCCAAACTTGACCACGGGTCAAGGAGACCAAGGAAGCTCAGGAAATCCTACTCTGCTTACATCCGCAGCAGGTGGTTTAGGCACGGTGAGCACAAATGTGCAAGGATCCATGGACCCTAAGGACACTTCGGTGCGTTTCCAAGGATTTGACGGCAATGAATCCAATGACTCATGCTTACAGTACAATCCGGTAACTGAGTCAGAAATCAAGAAATATGCTACTTTCAAAAGGGCATTCCAAGCCCACAAGGAACAACAGATCAAGCAGCAGCAGCAAAAATAGCAAGAAATCTAGTCAGTGGCTAAGTATTGGGCAAATGCAATCAGCAATGCCAATACCGTAGCCACTATTCAAAAAGTTCAAGACTGGATGACCGAGATGGCGGAAACAATTCTTAAAGCTCAAGCGACAGGTGCAGCTGCAGGTACCTCCAGAGTAACTCCCAATCCAATTCCAACTCCAACAGTCCATGAATCACAAGACGAAGGAACCGCAATCGAAGTCAGTTCAGCTCCCACCCTTGGTCTTGATGATGAAGACATTCAGGAGGTAAACAAGCCCAGTCCTTCTGATGATGACCTTATGATGTTCGATGAGGAAGAGGAATCCAGTGGCTCTCAACATTCGACTTCTAAACCCAAAGAAAAGAAGAAAAAGAAGAAGAATGTTGTCACCAGGAAAGAATTTCTGAGCTTACAAGCCAAAGTCGATCAGATCTTAGCTGCGGTTAAGCCAACTCAACCGCAACCAGAAGACACCCCGGGACCGCAGTCCCTGATCAAACGTATAGAGCGTCTGGAAACAAGGGAACGCTTGGCTGCTGAGAGAATTTCTCTCAAAGTGGAAATGGGGATCCGGTCCCTCGATAACAACCGCAAGGCAGATCACAAGGACTTTATGGCTGCTGCGGAATGCCTCATCACTGAGGTAACCGCAATCAAAACGGATCTCCAAGCAGCCATCGCGGATCAAGCCACACAGTCTCAGAAACTGATAGATGAGACTCACTCTGCTTATGAGTCCACTATCTCAGTTCTTCAAGCAAGAATTAATAGACTGCAACGATCCCTGTCCTCCAACTTCCATGGTCCCGAGATCCTCCAGCTCACAAAAGAAATACACAGGCTACTCTTCAGCTCCTCCATACCCAATAATCAACAGTTGGCCGAAGCCCTCAAAGCTCAATTTCAAGAGGTTTTTGCCAAGGTTGATGGCCTTAAAAAGTGGCTTGAGGAAGCTCCCCCGTTGCATTCCTCAAGAGGGGGAAGTGAAGAAGAAGTCCATCACTCTGATCACTCCATCTCACAACATCAGAGCAACCCCATCATCACAGAAAAAATTCCCACACCGCAGCCTTCACCGCAACCATCTTATCACACTTCACCACATAACACTCCACCGCAAGAAAAGGCTACTCCTGAAAAGCCAGAGACTCCCCCTCACTTTAAAAACCTGGCTGAGAATATGTCATCTCCAAGCTCAACTGACTCTCCTGCCACCGCCCAAAGGAAACACGATTGGAAGGCAGCCAAACTTGCTGAACTCATTTGGAATGAATGCGGATTTGATACAGTCATGGACGAATCCTTGATAAACTCTTGGGTCAATCCTCACCGCAGACTGCTGGACAAAGACTACAGACCGCACCTCACCTATGCTGAACCCCCTACTGATGGATACTGGGATGTCCCAATATCTCCAAATGCCAAATACTTCGCAGTGTTTGACCAATTCGACCCCAACCTTCCTGACCACAAAAGACTGCCAATGGAATTTGAGAGACTTAATCGTTTTTATGCTAAGCATGCCTCTCCCATTGAGAATATATGGTCTAACGATAGACCATCCGCAGTCAAGAACTACAAGATTCGGAAGTTCATGAAGGCTGACTACATCTAGTATACCCTCACTAGAAGAGAGCATGATTATATCCGCACCCAAGCAGACTTTCTTTGTATGAATCCGGAAGAAATCTTCCTCATTGCCAAGGTGTTCCAAAACAAGTCAGAAAAGCACCCTAAAATGAAGATTGCGCTTGAAAAAGCCAATTCTTTTCTGAAGGATACGGTCTGTGATTTTGCCAAGATCGATGCGGACATCTACCCTATCATTGCCAAGAAATTTGATCTGCCACCACTGGAGCCTGCACCAATGCCTACCAAAGGCTATCAAGAAAGATCCTTAGGTGCAACCAACTTTCCTGAACTTGGAGTCATTTTCAAAAGGAAGATCGATAATGTCAAATACTTCATTCCTATGACTGCCATGCATCGCCTCACCAGGAAGCAACTTGACATCTGTCGAACCGCAGTTGAAAGATCAAAGCACACTACCGCAGAAGTCAAATTCGAGATCTCAAGAAGAATCATCTGGCTGGAAAACATCAGCAAGTTTTGGTGGATCCTGATCAAGTTCCTCAAACTTGATAGCTGAACCAAAAGTTAAAGAGGTCACTTAGGGGGAAATTGTTAAATCATAAAAAGTGACCCTCTTGAACTTCAGCTACCGCAACCAATCCAGCTACCGCAGCCATCCAGCACCCGCAGTCAACTTCTTCATCAGCAACCGCAACCGGAGTCTCTTCCTACCGTAGTCACTTAGCTAGATTACTTTACTTGTCTTTATTGTAAAACACTCTATTGTCCAGTATGCCTTGCATGGCTACTCATAGAGATGTAATCTAGTGTACTTCATGAGTCTCTATAAATAAGAGCTCATTCTCTTGTATTCCATACGATAACTCACGCATCTATTCTGAATACATTTCTCTGAAGTTATCTTCTCTATTTCTCTATCTTTCTACTCATCACTTCTTACTCTCAATTCTTACTAGAACATAACTGATTATAACCTCTCTCCGGAGCAAGTCTTTTGTGACTTAATCACTAAGTTTGATCTTCCTTATTAACTCGGTTTGAATGCATTCCTTGTTATGAATCAACTTATGTGTATACTTGATATAACAACTGTTGTCATTTCTATTTCTTTACATTTCTGTAACTAACTCTCTAACTAGTTAACTCTAACTTATTAATATTATTGTTGAGCTTTTAGATCCTTCGAGATTAACTATTCCGCAATCTACTTGTTCCAACGTTTTGTTCAAGTGTGTCTCTAAGTTTTTCTCTCAACAGTTAGATAATGTAGCAGCTGTCAAGTAGTGCGTAGCGAGACTGTCGTCGAGAGCTGGTCACTAGGGCCGCTGAGAACTAAGCATCGAGCTGCTAGTGATAGATGAGTAGCACGACAACTAAAAGCTGGGTAATGAGACTACCGAGGGTTGAAGCACGAGGCTGCTCTTTCGATCCGGAATATTAATGTCACCCCAAGAGTACACTATCATGCATAGCATCAGCTCTTCATGTACCTTAACTCTGCCCCTACAGAATAAAAATCACTTCTGCATGGTGTAGTACCAACCCTCCCCCCCCATTTCCTTTCACAGAGAAGGAGAGGAAAGGGGAAGATGGATGCATAGCTGCTGAAAACTGAGATACGTAGCCACTGGAAAGATTTAGGCGATGCAAGCGCTGGAAAGAGATAGGTAGCGCGGCTGCCAAGAGTTGGGCAGCGCGACTGCGGGATGTCGGCCAACACGACTGATGAGAGCTGAGTAGCGAGACTGCATGGAGCTGGTCAACGCGGCTTCTAATATCCGAGTAGCGCGGTTGCTGAGAGTTATCAAAGAGACTGCGAAAGACTAGTCAACACGGCTGCTGGGAAAAGTTGGGCATCATAGCTGACGAGAGTCAGCCAACATGGTTGATGTTTGGTGTTGGGCCATGGAGCTTCTACTTCATTCATAACACCAATCTCTTCCCCGGGGTGCACAATCGTATATAATGTCAACTCGTTATGTAGTTTAGCTCTTTACTCGAAATAGAAATAACACTTCTGCATAGTGTCGTGCTAACCCTCCTACTCTCCCCTTTTTAGAAAAGGCGAGAAGTGAAGACGAACGGATATATGATATTGGCTTGTTGTTTGCAAGCTCGAGTCTCATTTGTTTGTACCTTGAGCATTTCTATCGCGGTCGTATTCTAAAACGCTTCATGGAGTTGTAGTAGCGTACTACTCTTCTCCCTCCCTTTTTGAAAATGCCGAGTGATCCGGGCCGCAACGCGTATTCTGAGAGCGCATTCTGTTGAGCGTGGCTTGCGGTGCGCGAACGTTAGGCGGCTAATTTTAGTATTTGTAAAATTAGGTCGTTTTTTATTGTGGAGGTAGCCCATTAAGCACCATTTTATATGAAGCCCAAATTGCCACAGCCCAAAAATTGTTATTATTTCTCGTTAGAGCCCGCAAATAATCCGCCCAAATTCATATTCTCTTCTTCTTCTTTTCTTCTTTTTTTTTTTTTTTTTTTTTTCTTTTTTTTTTTTTTTTTTTAAATCTGAGTGGTCCAGGTCTAGGTTGCAACGCACTTTTTAGAATCTAGTTTGTTGAGCGGAGTCACAACAATTGACAGGCTAATTTATTTTTGCAAAAACTAGGTCATTTGATTATTTTTGAGGCAGCCCAAATGCTAAAATATATGGGGAGCCCAAATCAAATGTTATAGCCCAGATGTAGCCTGTTAGGGTTTATGGAGCTGGAGTCCCAAGTTCCTTTCCTTTGTGTCCGTGTGTTTGAATGCCTATAGGTATCAAGTGGGTTTGGCTTTTATCTTACAGCCGTTCTCCTGCTTATACTCACGATCTGCTCCAAGGGTGCTCAAAGAAAGAAAGAAACGACGGCTAGCAGTGAGGGGTTCCTCTTCGGGTAATGTTGATTGAAGAGGGAGATCGGCGACGAATGTTGACAGTCGGTGACTGGAGGTGATTTGGTGGTGTCGTAGCTCCAGCAGGCGGTGATTGATCGATCATATGAGGCCGATGATCTCTACCAGAGAGGACAAAGGCGGTTATCAGAGTCATTTCGCCAGGACAGGGGCGACCGACGATTGGATTTGCGAGCTGATTTGCTTGAAGGTGTGAGGCAGTTGTTGGGTGTCGGCAGGTGTTTTTTCGTCTGAGAAACGTCGACTGGAAAAGAATGTCGCAATGGCAACGTGATTTCCGGCGGAGCTGATCTACTGGGTTGTTCATTGAAGGCGCCCGATGGCTGCTTTTGGGTGTATGTCATCGTCAGCGGTCTAGGGGCGATCGGAGATGGACCGGCTCCGCCCACTGGCGTCAACAGCTTGGAGTCAGAGCTGTTGGAAGTGTTTCAGAGAATCTCAGTTTGGGATGCGTGGATTGGAGGAGGTGGCACAGCGATGACGATTCAAGAGGGTAAAGGCTGTAATTGCTTCTGGTTTGTTTCCAATTTAGCCGGAGATGGACGGCGATGGCAGCCAAGTTCTAGTCGTCGAGGTCGGAAGCACCTGGAGGAACAGCGATGGTCGTGATGACGACTGGATGAGGTTGCAATTGTCCGCTGGGTCGCCGGTCAAGGCATACGAGAACGACCAATCGTGGAGTCGGCTATCCTCCGATTTTCCAGAGTGAGAAGGTGGCATAGGTGGGGCCCTTTGTGGTTTTTGGTTGCTGTTGCTGAATCAAAAGCATAGAAAAGAAACAGTTAATTGTGGGGCCCAACTTTTTTTGACTTTTGGTTGACAGCTCTGTCATTTGTATGGTGCACTATGCACTTTTACCCCATTTTTTTTTACATCGACAGTAAACATATACTATTTTTGATGTATTTTGGATGATTTGTTGTAAATGAGCTGTAAAGATTTTCTCTGTGTATATATACTTGTTTTTTTTTGACATAATGAACTATAAATATTAACAGTAAACTGGAATGGTTGGGATGTACACACATTATAGCTTGAGCTTACAAGCAAATGTTTTGCATCAAAATCAACTAAATGGATTTTCTTAGTGATATGAACTTAAAACGAGGTAGAAACTCATCAAATACTTCTCCTCTTCATTTTGCTTAAATAAACTGAAGTAAGATAAAACCCAAAAACTCTTCTTTTCTTCTCAACTTTCTTGGTAAGTCATCAAAAGAATAATCAAAAGAATAACAGAATAGATCTGAAATAAAAATGGGTTTTCTGACAGTTTGAGAAGGTAAAATTTTTATAGAGACTTATTTCTTCCATCAAGTTTCTAAACAACTTGAGTAAACTTGTATAGAGAATATTATAAACTAAATGATATTTTCTAAGAAATACATGGACTAAAAGTGGGTTAAGACCCATCAAAACTTCTCACCCCTTCTCTTTTTTTTAAAGGTCTTGTAAAATATACAAGCCATATAGTTGTGTTGTGTACAGATACTTGCTACAGGGTAGAAGTGTACACGAAAATACACAGCTAGAGAAGAGTTTTTTTGATAAATTATGAACAAAATATGGGGTAAAACTCATAGGAAACTTCTTTTCTTCTCAACTTACTGGAAAACCCCAAAATATAAACAAAAAACGGATCTAACAAGTTTTCTTCTGATAAAATTTTATTTCCTTTTCAGCTTGTTCAACAAGACATCAAAACATGAGCAAGAAACAGATCTGAAAATTTTCGTTTCCCTACCCTAAGTTTTTGAAGAAAACACTAAATAACCAACTTCAAAGAAGTCTTGTAATGAAAATCATAAACTGAAGATGATTTCTTTATAACATAATCTTAAAGCAAGGTAAATAATGACGAAAAAATGTTCTTCAACTCTCAAGTTGCTTGGATAAAACACTAAAATATGAACAAAGATGGAGAAGAGCTCCTAAAAACCTCTTCTCTCCCCGAAAATATAAGTAAAAACAGGTCTAAGTTGGTGTTTTTAAACTTGAGAGGTGATTAAGTGAACAAAAACGTTCAGATCTCGAGATCAGAGCTAAAAAATGAAGTAGATCTACAGATCTGGAGAAAAAGTACATCAGATCGAAAGATCTGAAACATAGCTAATCAGATCTAGATAGATATTTGCCAAGATCCAAACGGATCTGAACTAAGGAATGTAGAAATGAACAGATCTGAGCAAACCTTAGATGAAAACATATCAGATTTGAACAAATCTGGGCAAAAACGAGCTTGAGACCAACTAAGATGGTGGCTACTCATTCAAGTCCGGGAAAACGCCAAATGATGTGACATCGGCTCCGACCACCTGCTCTGAGGGATTGCTTCTACGCGCGGAGACAGATCTGCGAGGTCACAACAGACAAGGTCGTTAGAGCCGCCCCAGGGACTGTGCCCCGGGAGCGGACTCCGACGATCAAGCTAGATCAGCTGATAGATTTGAGATGGTTCTCCATTGCTGGAGAGAACCATCTTGGTGCTAGTGGTGGTGTATGGTGGCTGACGGCGGAGGGTGGTGGCTGAACCAGCAGGCCGGAGTATAGTGTGGAGGTTGGGCCATGGGGGGATGTCTAGGGTAGCGACTGAGCTAAAGGGAAAATGCCACTTCTATGGAGGAGGCACTATTCTATTTATAGTGGACAATTAGGTCAAGGGGAATTAGGTCAGGCCTTGGGCCAACCCAATTCAGGCCCAACTAGCAAGGAGTTGGGCGAGGAAGCCCGGAGGCGCCTGGCAAGGCTAGCGAGCGCGCACCAGGAAAAGCTGGCGGGCGCGCACTAGGAAAGGCTGGCAAGGGAGCGCCAGGCCGGGCCAACAGGAGAGTCCCCGACAAGACTAGCAAGGGAGTCCCCAGACCGGGCTAGCAGGAGAGTCCCCAGCAAGGCTGGCAAGGGAGCGCTAGGCGAGGCTGGCGCGCCAGAGCTGTTTAGGCCATGCTAATGGGCCATATATCAACAATAAACATTCAAAAAGAAGAAAAAAGAGAACAAACTGAAACGACACTCTTTCAAACCGCTCTATTACGATGGAAACACCTCGTAAATCGCTCCCAATCCGAGGTGCGTACAGACCTAAGCTAGAACTACTCAGCTACCCTAAGCAAACGTTGATGTCTACTAGCCTGGGGGACTTGTTGATGTACCCCACCAGGAATCCGTCAAATACAACGGAGCAGTCAGTCTAACAAACAAATTCGAGCGATGAACAACTAACGTCGGATCCTCGTGCTCGCTCCTGTGCTTTTTCCTTAGCGCCCAAGCATCAAGGCGAGAGTCGAGACAAAACAATACCAACCCACTCGTAAGGCGACAGGTGTGGTCCCTAGAGCTTCACGCCTGGCAGACCTACGCCAAAGGCAGGCAACCGCTTGTGGAACACGGTTCACGATTTAGAGTTCACCCAGCTCTGACAGAACCTGAAAAAGTAGAAAGTATTGTCGGGGATCTGCTCCCCTTCACCACAGGTATAAAAGGCACCCTTCTCTCCCAAGAGAGGGGGCCAAGATCAAAAAACCTCTAACACTCTCTTTACGCTTAAAATCCTCCCTCTCTCTCTCTCTCTCTCTCTCTCTCTCTCTCAGAAACTCATTGACTTGATCGTCAGAGCCTCGTTCCGGGACTACCTCCCGGACGATGACTGACGATCTTATCTTCTTTGTTGTGATCCACAGGCTCTTCATTTCCACCCTCACAGAGACGGAGTTAAGCTGGCGACATATCATAACAACATCAGTTTCAAAATAGGTTTAGAATCAGAAATCATAACAATCATATGTCAAACAAATACAATTAAAAATGAACCTATAAACTATGAAATAGATTGAGAAACTGCAAAATCAGAAATCATATGATTTCAACAATCATTCACAAAAAATAAGGATGATTGATCAAAAAAATAAGCAAAATCAGCTTTAACATCATATTCAACAATCAAATTCAACAACCAATTACAAAAGTAAGAAAGCAAGGCAATGGAATACGATTGCAACAACTTGTTAACGTAAAATTGCATGAACAAATTGAAGATGGAGAAAAAAGTTCGGTATTATTACATGAGCATGGTTACAATCAATTGTAGCAGTAGAGATGAAATTGACATCAATGGCATATTCGACCTATGTGCAGGTTCTGGGAGGCAACGTACCTGCAAATTATGGGAGTCGACGTCTGATAGCAGCGACCGGTATTGAAGTGAAACATCCCAAAATATGGTCCAAAAATATCATTTTTAATATTAGATAAAATAGTAGTTTCTAATATCATCCAAACATCAATTGCCATAAAATCAGAGTAAAACATCATAAGCAGAATCCCAATGGTGTGTGCGATGCAGTCAACCCGAGCTCTTCCCTTTGCAACCGGAAGTACCTGAAACATAAACTGAAAACAGTAAGCACAAAGCTTAGTGAGTTCCCCAAACTACCACATACCAAAATTATCACATAACGGGCCCCGCCCACACTCGCAATACAGGGCCCGTCCACACTCGCAATACGGGCCCCGCCCAATGAGCTACGGGCCCCGCCCACACTCACAATACGGGCCCCGCCCACACTTGCAATACATATACAAGCACATACAAGTATCATACAGACAACAAGTATATCACATAATCATCAAGGGTAGGCCTTGGTGCGTTAGACCCGCTAAACCCAGTGAGGAAAACTCACCTCGAATACTAAACGATAGTTGGACAGGTCTCGGCTCCGAATATCGGCTCTACTCAACCCCTAAACAAAAATAACTCCTTAGATAAAACCCAAAATGCCCCAAAACCACTTATAGGTCAAACTTTGTCAAATACTAAAGTCAAAAGTCAAGGTCAACAGTCCAAATTAACCCAACACGCTGTGTTTCTACATCCGCTGCAAGATCGGGGAAAAACCATACCTACTCGCTGTGTTTACTAATGAACACACCGAGTTCGCCAGCAATCCAACAACTTAATGCATTAAGCTGTCTTCATCAAATCTAAGAGCTCCAAAGCTCAGATCTCCACCAAAATGATATCTAGAAGGATAAAGTATCTAACTTTACCCTTAGGAACCATCACAATGGGTCAAAACCCAAACCCTAGGCTCATTTGAGTGAGGGCTTAACCCATTAAGCTCTTAATCTCCAAAGAGATAGTCCAGAAATGTAGATCTGACACCCAAAGGGTGGAAAATCACGTGAAGTTTCCAACTTTATGTTCATGCATGCCAAGAAGAAGCTCTAGAGCTTAAGAAGGGCTTAATAAAGAAATTAATGCATGAATGAGACCTAGAACCTAATAAAGCTTGCAACTTTAAGCCAGATGAG